TGGTGGTGGTGGTGGTGGTGGTGGTGGTGGTGGTGGTGGTGGTGGTGGTGGTTTGGTTGGGGTTTTTTTGTTGTTGGTGGTTTGGTTTGTTTTTTTGTTTTGTTACTGTTGTTGTTTGTAAGACAGGGCCGTAGCCCTGGCTGTCCTGGAACTCACTATGTAGACCAGGCTGGCCTCAAACTCAGAGATTTCTCTGCCTCTTCCTCCCAAGTGCAGGGACTAAAGATGTATGCCACTATTCCTGATACAACCTGACTCTCAAGTGTATTAATGCCTCGATTACAGAAGTAACCAAGGTTGGCCATGCCATTTCTTAGCAGTCCCAGAATTCTGAGAATTGCTTGGCATTGCTGCTTAATAAACATGACTGTGTGTGCAGTGAGGAGATGACCCCTCCTTTTTAACTTCCCCATGGCAGGTTATACGTATGCTTACATACAGGGAGTGTAGGGACCAGAGGGTTAGGAAGCCCTCTGTTTATAACCCTGGGCACAGTGGGGAGACCACCCTCAGTTCTGTCCTGCACTCTTCACCCTCTGTCTTCCACTGTCCTATAAGAAGTGCATGGTGAGACCCCCTGCCCACAGGGGATGTGAGACCCCTGCCCACAGGGGGTGGATGCATCAGTCCCTGGCTCCGTCTCTCACAAGCCTCAAGCACTTGTTCTTGTGCTTTTTTTCCTGCTTGCTTGTTATGACCCTAAGCACATACATGGGGTGGTTTTATTTTATTTTCATTTTTAATCATGTTAATATTTCCTGTGCTTAAACTCTAGGTTCCATACTGGATGGGTGGCTACCAGCAGAGATGCACAGGTCAAAACTGACAGAACATAGAAGCCAGGGTGTCTTCTAAAATGAAATGTAGGAAATGGTACTATAAAAACCTGGCAACTGCTTTGTTTCAACTCTTCAACTTAGAAAGGAGATAAACTCTGAGGCCTGGCTCTGGTGAAGTATAGTGGGGTTCTGAGTCTTGTAGCAGGTAAAGCTGCTGTTCTTTTACTGGTAGCTGTCACCAGGCTGCTGAGGTAAATAATTATAGAGAGCACAAGAAAGGCTTGGGAAGGGAAAGAAGAAAAAAAAGTCTCTGCCATCAGAATGCAGAAAATAAAATACCTACTGCTCCTTTAAGGGATTTTTTTAACCTTTTACCTTTGTATTTGTTTTCATGGCCATTATATTTTTCAACTTGATGATCCCATTTTTTCTTCATTTTTCTAGTGATCAGAGAAGGTGATTCATGGTGGACTGAAATCAAGCTTAGACCCAGCTGGAAACAGAAAGGGAATCTTAACTTAAATTAATTTTTCATGCAGGCAAAAGATCATGCAAAAATGGGAATAAAAGAGGTGAAAAACCGCTTGAAGCAAAAGGTACTTGAAGTTCTTATTCAAAATGTATAAGCACTGTGTATGAAATGCGTGGCCACAAAAAAGTAGGATGTGATCAATAGAAGGCTGTCTGATACAGTGTTGTTAGCACACTTCAAAATGCATTACCAGCTGTCCGGGAGTTTCACACTGTTATAAATATTCACAGACAAAAAATTGTCTTCAAATAACATTAAGACTCTTTGTGGGCTTAAACCCACAAAATCGAGTGAGTTCAGAGTTGCCACTGTCTGCCAACCCACCCCACCAGGCCTGGGGTTTGCAGGTGTCCAGCAGCATTGGCTGCTTCATACATACTGGCCACCACCCCAGTGTCACTCCATTCCTGCAGCCACCCTCTGCCCCATGTCTGGTCATAACTTAAACCCAAAAGCATACCCAGAGGAAGGACCACCCTGTTTCCAGCAGATACACACAAAGAGTGAGCAGGAAGGGAATACCATGGATCTCCCCCCATAACTGCATAGAGCAAGAGTAGCCTAGCCTATGCCTAGCAAACAGAGGCTTTGTGATTGTCTCTATGGTCCATCACAAAAATTGTGTGTAGTCACTGTGGCTGAAATTTCCCCAACCTGAGTCCCTGGGGAGGACAGTAGTATAACCAGAGCAGGGCAGGGGGTGTGCGTGTAATACCATTGCAGCATGCTCTCCAATACTGTGATTGCCACTCCTTGTTCAAGATGAGCCAGAATAGAAGCTGACAGCCCAAATCCATAGAACAAAGCTGTGAGTGAAGAGACTGGCTCACAGGTGAGGTAATTCGCCCAAGGCCGGTGTGTGAGCCTAGCAAAGACAGGATTAGATTTCAGATCTCTTGACTTCCACTGTCAGAATACTTCCATTCTGTACCACAAACTGCTTCCCCCAAACACGTATTTTCTTTTGCAAAAGATGTCTGAGGTCATTTTACCCAGACCCCTTAAATGTATCACTATCTAGGCAGTTTGTGTTGGTTCTGTTTTTTAGTGAAAGCAGTTTGAACTTTATGAAGTTGGAAAAATCCTCATTAACTTGAAATGGGTCAAAGGAATTGATTCCTTTCTTTTAATTGGAAAATAATTTGCTCTTACTAAGCATTTAAATTCCTAGCTTTGGCTGACAGTGAATTCTTAACAGCCGAGGTTCTCATCCTGTGACACAAACCTTGTAACACAATCCACACAGACTACATGGCAGTCTGTTTACCCTGGCAGACAATGGCAGGTAGGACTCTTTGCATAGATATTATCTGAGTCACTGATCATACCTTTTCATCCCCTGTCCCAGTCACATGGAGGTGAATTATGTGTATCCAGGAGGGTCCCCCCATCCCCCAGTATCTAGATTGTAGGCTATGGTTGTTTTGGGTATTGCCTGAAGTAAGCAAAGATGGGGTCCCTCCTCAGGCGTCAGACAAAAGGCCTCATGGGTCTCCTTGCTCCTGCTGACCATGAAGCCAGAGACTACCATCAAAGAGTTTCTTCCCACCACACAGTCTCTCTGCAGCAGCCAGTGAAGCTCAGCTTTTCTTCCTGTGTTTACCCAAAGGCTCATTTACACAATCTAGATCATGTTCCCTCCACACACTCCACCTTTCCTTCCTTCATAAACTCTAAAGCCGTTTTCCCCCCTCCCCTTCTCCCTCCCCAGCCCACACCAGTCTTTTCAAGAATAGCTTCAGGAGATAATGTTCTACAGAGTCAGTGCATCTCAGGTGCCACAAACGGTGAAGGCATTTTATAGAAATGTGGCTTGTCACCACTGGACTGTTGACAGATCTATTAGTGCACCCTTTTCAATTTTCACTTTTCCCCCTTTGGCTCTTAGAGATTTCCACAGACTTGATATTTCGCAGTTGTTCTTGGAAGAGCTGTTTTGTAATTGAAACCCCAGCATTGTTCAGTGCACACAGGCCCCTGGTCTCTGGTGCTCTCCAGATCTTTTTCTTGAGCTAATTTAGGATTTAGCTTCTCCTGACCTATCTCACTGTAGTGGAAAATATTTCCTTGGCTTTTTTCTCCCCTTTCCATCTGCCCCCTTCGTGCAACATGGAACCTGTCTCTATGGCTCCCGGATACACCTAACACAGGCATCACAAGTTTGGTTTCTACTATGAAATTGAGGCAGTTGCCAGCAAAGACCCAATTTTCTAATGTGCTGGGTCGCCACCTGGCCTCCTCAAACTCTGTATAGCAATGGTGACCTCGCACACATAATCAAGAACCCAGTCTTGCCCTCTTTGCTCTTGCCTTGGGTTTGAATTGCAAATAGAGAATGTGGGGCTGACCTATGAAGAGGTCACCATGGTGTGTGGAGGGTCCATCTCTAATATGACTGACTGAGCAGGGCCCCTTTTCCATCCCTTGTTCATCTGTGCAATAGATGTTTTCAAAGCCTCTGAAATAGCTTTCAGGGTATCTGCGACCATTGGCGAGTGATTGTTCGTAGATCCTATAGTGTGGCTTTATTCCATGCCTTCTCTGCTTCATCCCTGGAACAAAAAAGAAAGATGGAAAACATATTTCTCTGGATAAATGGAACAGAGAGGCCAAGTTCTGCTATAGCCTAGCCTCCTTTGAAGTTCGACTTGCTCAGAATTAGGAAGGAGAAATGACAGGGATTCCAGCCATAGCTTCCTAATGGAGACAGTGGCACTTGCCTGGGAGTATGTCTTCACCAGTCTTGACCTGCAGAAGAATATCACCAAATTGCACTCTACTTCCCTGGTTCAGACTGTCTGGAGAATGCACTTTAAATCCAGTAGCTGCACACTCGCTCTCTTTACCTGTAGGGGGCACTAAAAATTTGCTACCCTATGGTGGCCTCTTGAGCTATAGTTCTGTCTTCCTCCTTCCTCCTGTGTGACCCTTCAGAAAGGAGTGGCCCACCCCTCCCTGAAGCCCCTTGTTTTGCTTTTTAAAAACGACATTTAGAAAGACAAGTTGTCTATGCCCCCACCCACATTTGCCAACAAGTTTTATGTGTATTGTATGTGTATATGTGTGCCCTTCAGGAATCCCTGATTTTTTTTTTCTTTAGTATCAAAATGCTTTAACCAAATGGGCCCATTTCATAGCCATTTGGAGAGTTTGTAAATCGCTATTCTTTAAACGACAAGTTGAGCTTGATTAATGTTTGTGATTGAAAGGAGCAAATTCACAGTTGGCTTGACTTTCTAGCCAAACGCTTACAGTCATAATGAAGGACGTGAGCAAGCATGTGGGGGCAGGGAGAGCAGGTAGACTATTACAGAATGGATACTTTCACACCATCTTACACAGCTGTCAGCTCCCTGTCTTTACACACATTAAAATATGTTGCAGCCTCAATCACCAAGACTCCAATTTTAGCTACTGGTTTGGTATCAATATTCATATTTTAATTTACATTTGCTGGTTATGGGAAGTAGGCTGGGAAAAAAAACAGGTACCACACAAATCTCAAAGTGGAAAAAGATTCTCTCACAGGAAATGAGAAGGCACTGGCCTTAACCATACACACCCCACTCCACCTCCAGTGCCCTCTCATGGGGATGAGGCGTTTAAGCTTTGGAGGCCAACCAGAAGATTCAGTCTGGTTGTGTAGGATATTAATTGTGTGGCCCTGGGGGAGTTACCAGCCATCGCTGTTTTTCTCATCCATAAAAACTAGGGAGCATCTTAGAAAAGGTGAGCTGTTTTCACAGTCGTTCTTAGTAGCAGCTCCGTAAATGAGAATATATCCTCTCTGTTTCCTTGGGCTCATACCTAGAACAAGACAGTCTGCCCAAATGCCATAGGACGCACCTCCCTATAGGCTGCTCACATAGCCACAAGAGGAATCTTTCCAGACCATTCCTTTGGCTAAAGGCGACCTCAGCTTGCTCAGCAAAAAGAGGGGTGCTCTACCCATTCTTGGAGTGCTGGGCCTACTCCCAACTCCAGGGGTGAATGCCGCATGTGGCCTTGCTTCTCAGCCACAGGAAGCCTGTCCCCAGCTCCTCCTAAGGTCATTTGAGGTGGCCTATTGAATTGTAGCTGTCTTCCTCCTGTGTGACTCTTCAGGAAGGAGTTGGCCCACTCCTCCCTGCAGCCCCTTGTTTTGTTTTTTAAAAATAGCATTTGGAAGGTCAAGGGTTTTTTTTTTTTTTTTTTTTGCCAACAAACCATATGTTTATTGGGAAATTCAGCAAACCAAAGAAGAAAAATAATATCCCTTTTCATGTGCATTTTCATATGGTATGCCCTGAACATGTCTCAGCCTTCTAAAAATGTTTCTTCCACGTATCCTTGTTTTAAATAGCTCATAAATTTTCTTAGAATGGCATATATAGACACATACTACACATAGACACATATATACACACGCATACTATACATACACACATGCACACACATACACACATACCTTAATCAATTCTGTTGGACACCTGAGTTATTTCTAGGTTTGTTCATTTGAAAACATTTCTAGAAATGAAATTAGTGAGCCATAGGACATTTGCATCTTGCAGCATTTTTATATAAGCTTCTAGTTTGCCTTCCTCCAAGCAGGGTGTCAGGGTACCCATATCCCAGTCCCTTGGCTGATGGATCAGTCAGTTCTTGGGCCACAGTTTCTTTAATCGAGGACTGCAGAGTTGTTCCTTTGGTTCCTACATACATATGTCTGCTGGTAGACAGAAAAGAGTCCACTGCTCTTGACCAGAGCTCCTCCCCTGTACTACCCATGACATCCTTGAAGGAAGCAGTCGCCCTTCCCCAGATGGTGAAGGAGCCAAGCACTTGGTAGGGGAGCCATGAGAAAGTACAGAAATGTTGGGGTGTCTGGATAGTCTAACTAAACAAAATGTGGCTTTTAGACACCCAGGCGCATTTGCCTTCCAAATGTTTGACTCAACTTAATGGACATTTATGGGAAAGTTGTACTAGACTCAAGAAAACCCAGATCCCAAGGAACTCAAAGTCTGGAAAGCTTCACAATAGATGGCCATGGTATGGCAGCCTGTGACCAGTTTAGCAAGGAGGGAGAGGAAATCATTTTTGGTGGCCCGGCATAGCATGTACCCACCCCCTCAGGCCAAGATACCTTCACTTGGGCTTTAGTTAGAAGTTGATATGATTTAAATGTCACCAGTCCTTATTTTAGGTTCCTCCACTTTGTATCTCCATGGTCTGGAATAGGTTATCTTATCTGAATCCTATTGCCTCATATATAAAGGATGTATAATCCTATTTATTTTATGATCATCCTGAGCACTAAGTATGAGAATGGAAATCTAGAATCTGGAAAAGTAGCCACCAGAATTAGGTGTCCCCCCACACACACACAGGGAAGCATTGTGTCCATTCTACTTGTACAATATTGGACTCTGTCAAAGCCTCCTCCTAGCTCATCTCATTTAAACCATTCTCCATGGACCTTTGTCAAACGACTAGGAATCTCCCTGTTGTAAAATGAAGAAACTGTTGCAGGGGAAGATGAGTCTGAAAGATCAGGCAGCTAATTGATGGAACATATAAGGCTAGAAGACTGCACTTTTTACTTAAAGCTTAAGCTAAGGCACTTTCCCCCCAAATCTATCGTGTTTTCTTTTAAAAATAATTATTTAGTAGTTTCCTAGTTGATACATTTTCCTACCGTGCACACATGATGGAAGGATATTTTCCTGGACCAAAAATGAATTTATTAAGGTTTGGCCTCATTCACCCTGTGTTAATCCGCTAGATGCACCCACACACACCCGAAGTGCCCCTTTTGCCCTTTAGTTGCTCTCTGACACAGAAGGAGCCCCTCCTCTACTTTGTTCCATTTGACCCAGGCACCTTGGGGCAGCCCCTTTCCAAACAATCCATTTCTAATTGGCTGTCAGTAGCCCCTTTCATCACTGAGCCTTAGCTTAGTTGAGACTAGCCAATCCAGTGTAGGCCACATGCCCAAGCCCTGTCTGTAAGGCCAAAAGGTCATCACCTTCCTGTATCACTGACCAAGCAGAGACTCTCTAGGTTGGCTTATACAGCAGCTGATTCCTTAAGAAAGGAAGCCAGTAAATAGGCAGTTGGGTATATAACACTATACGGATTCACACACACAAACACAGGCACACACTTGCATGTTCACACATGAAGGTATATACATCTGCATGGGTAAAAGCTCTGTTTCATTCCAGTAGTTTACTGGGAAGCTAATGATGCTCTAGGCATTTATGTTACATTACCTATCTCCTTTCATCCCTAGCTCCCATGTCCCCACTTACAGATAGGGAAACTGAGGCTCAGAGGTCTTACCTATGTTTCCTCGTTAGTATATAACTACTAGTACATAATACTTAGTACATAATTTCCTTCTGTCTCATGATTCTCTCCGTTGAGAAAGGGTAGCCAATGATCAAAAACCTCTTCTGTTGACCGAAATGTATAATTGTTTTTATAATGAGAAAAGTTAGATGTTATGTTATTTAATTCAGAACGTGAGTTATTTTTGGTGGAAAAAAATGATTACTTAGATGTTATTTATTTGTACCTTTATTCTCTGACTTGTCCTAAGCAACTTGCTTGACCTCAATAAAAAGGTATAATGCTTATTGCAGAAGTAAACACGTCCATGTTTTCACTAGCCCATACCAATGCTCAGCTGACAAGCACAGCCAAAGAAGCCATAGACTACCCTTTACACATGGGGAGTTTTCTTAGTTTCATTTACCAGACACACAAATGAAATGTAAATGTTTAGGTTTTAAGAGATTTTCTTCATCCTGTAGAGACTCTGCAGGTCAGGGAGACCCTTAGGCCCTTCCAGAAACAAAAGGAAGAGAAGAGAGGGCCAGGAAAGGGATCTGTAGTGCCACCAGTAAGCAGACAGAGAAAAAAGGCCACACTCACAAATAATCAAAGTAATGCAAATTAAAACAACAATGAGGTCTAATTTTTCACCTATTAAATTAGCAATACATTTTTAAAATGATAAGGCTAACAAGTACCGTGAAACTGATAACACACCCATTTCGGGTAGTTGGTGTAAATTGGGAAGCAATTTGGTAGAATGAATAAAAAGCCTTAGAAAGTGTTTATGTTTGACCTCATGCTTTCATTCCTAGTGTTTTCCACAAAAGCAATAATACAAAAGGAAAGAAAAATATAGCATGTATTGCTAGCATTTAGAAAGAATAAAAACATACCCAATAGTAATAGGATGAGTTATTAAATCATTAGATGTCTGCTCAATGAAAATATTATGCATCCATTAAAATTTTTATTATAATGACTGTATGGCACCATGGTGATGCTTATATTGGAGAAAAACAGGATATAAAATTATGCATGAGCTGTGATTACAAGTAATTTTTAAATGTCTGCATATAGACAAAGTAAATGTGTGAAAATGAAAATAGCCATAGAAGAATGCAGGATGAAATAGAATAGAATAGAAGAATGCAGGATAAAAATTATTATGTTTATAGTTTCATGTAGATAGTTTAGGCTTCTTTGGTGCATCAGTGTCAGAAGACCAAGTTAGCTTCTGTTTCCTCTGCCTCTCCCAGGGGGCCAGGCTTAGAATAGCCTGGGGGCTGTTCTTAAGCAGACCTCTTGGCTTGTGGGGATGAGGCGAGAGGGCAAAGGGCCAGGACTCCAGTGCAAACCTAGACCTTCCTTCTTCCCATAGGACATCACTGAGAATGGCTGTGCGTCCTCTGCAGAAGATCCACTGCCAAAGACCATGCCATCTCCACAGGCAGAGGCCAAGGACCCCAAACTTCGAGAAGACCGGAGACCAATCACAGTCCACTTTGGGCAGGTATGTGTTCTGCCCGTCCACAGGGCTGTCTGGTTTTTATGATTTTGTTTGTATCAGAAGCTGGAGTGTAAGCAGACAACAAGTTAGCACCTAGCTCTCCAGCAAAGCAACTTAATGCTCTTCACACCGTCAAGTGTCTGGCATAAACATATTTCAAAGGTGAATTTTCAAAAATCTGGGTGGGAACAACATGGCATTGTATATCACTAGCTCCGCTGTTAGATGGAATCATTAAATGTACCCTCTGCCTCCCCCACTCCTAGACACTGCATTTAAGGTGTTGGTTAGCTAAGCATCTCATTAGAACACTTGGGCATCCCAGGCCCTTCTTTGTACCTTCAAATAAAAGGCAACAAGCAAAGACTTAAAAAAAAAGTCAATTAGGAGTTCTTTATTAATGTACTCCCTGAAAAATCAATATTGGGGGTTGCATTTCTTGGAGTAAACACCCTTGCTATGGTTCTAGAGATCCAACTCTTTACCCAACTGCTTGCAAGGACCTGAGTGCTTAAAAAAATTGTCTATTCATTTCATTTTATTTCTTTCCTCTTAATTAATACATTGTACTCTTTACAGAAATTGAAATTTTCATCTATTTCCTACCTGTGGTTATATTTTCAATTAAAAGGATTATGTAGCCTTCCCTTCCTCTCTTCAATCAACTGGTCTAATTTCTCAAATATAAATGTGTTGTGTGTAGTATGTATGGTTTGATGCTTTTGTTTGATTTGGTATCTGAAACATGGCTCCATCAGGTATGGTTATAACAAGAGTTTGCAAGATTTCTTGTTGTCGTCGTCATTTGTTTTTCTGGTGCTTGGGCTCTAACCAAGGACCTAGTGCTTGCTTAGCAAGCTGTGTTTTACTACTGAGCTTAAATCATCTGATTCTTTAGCTATTCCCTAGATGAAGTATGATAAAGCTAGTCTGTATGAGGTTTTGTTTTGTTTTGTTTAGATTTTACTTTCATGTTTATTTTTTATTTTCCCCCCATTGTCCTCCAGTTGCAGTCCACCCCTCACACAGCTTCTTCCCCATCCCTCCCTCCCCTTTACCGCTGAGAAGGGAGAGGTCCCCCCTGGTTACCTCAACCCACCTGCGCAACTCAAGTCACTGCAGGACTACATATATCCTGTCCCAGAGGCCAGACAAAACAGCCCAGTTAGGGGAACAGAATCCACAGGCAGGCAACAGAGTCAGGGACAGCACTCCCCTCCAGTTGTTGGAGGACCAGCATGAAGACCAAGCTGCACATCTGCTACATATGTGCAGGGGACCTGGCTGTATGACTTCTATTTACTGTTAGTAGGATTGCTATTTCACATCAAAAAGGACCTAGAATCCTTTGTTTAAAACATTTCTTATCTTAAGAGACATTCATTTATCAGGTGCCATTATGTATCAGGCATTGAACTATTTAAAAATAAAATGAACCAGGCCCTTGAGATGGCTCAGCAGGTAAAGATGCCCACAGTCAAACCTGACAGTCTGAGTTCAGTTCCCAGCTACTGCATGATAGAAGAAAACCAACTCTCCCTATTTGTCCTCTGACTTCCACGTTTGAGCCTGGGCACACATGCACACACTCCACATACATAAACAAACACATATACAAGAAAAATAAATAAAAGCATAAAAAGAAGAACTAGCAAAACAGCCACTGTGGGTTCTTATTGCAAAGCATGAACTGACTCATGAAATCAGTCTCTTCTAATCAGTCTTTTTGGATAAATGTCCATACCTCATCAATTGGGGAAATCAACCCCTCTTTTAATTTTATATTTAAAGAGATGTCATAGAACCTGGCATATCCTGTAAAGCAGAAGCACTGCCTAACTAACCGTTCTCTTCAAAGCGCACCAGTGTCTGCACCCTGAGGACTGGCTCCTCTGGAGCTCAGGCACTGTTGGAGCAATCCTCACCCCAGTTCCTGGCCATGTTTGCTGAAAGCACAGCCCTGGTTGTCACCAGCATGGCATTCCAGAGTCAGCTTCCAGCTTTCCTTTGTCCTCATTCCTGCACATTCGAACCTGCCCATGAAAGAACCCTCACTGGAGTTGGGAGCCCATTACAGAGAAAGAGGAGGCGGGGGAGAGGGAATTCATGGTGTTAAACATTCCATTTTCAAAACACACAAAAAAGGAGGCCCTATTTGAAATAGAGAGACCTTCTTTCCATTTCAGCAAGAAATAGAGAGATTCTTTAATGTCATTCCCAGCTAAATGTAGAATAAGAGTGTGTGTGCTCACATGGGTGGGGGATAAACAATTAAAAAGCCACCCCAAACTCTGTTGAAATAAGAGCTGTCTGTGCCTTCACAGGTCTGCAAACTGGAGAGGATGAAAGTGGCTCCCCCCACCCCCGTTTGTCACTTCCCTCACGTGGCTGCCAGCATTATGCAAGTGTACAGGAAGGCAGGATTTTTTTTTAATGCGTGCATACGGATTAAGGTCAAGCCCCTAGTATCAGCCATGCAGCGGGTTCTCCCTTCCAGCTGCAGCCACAGAGCCTACCCACAGCCGAGAGATGCCTTAATTGAGACGTGCTGTCAAAGTGACAAACACATTTGCATACAGTCTACACTCTATTTATTTTCTCTGGAAAGGTCTACAGTCTGCTGTTGGTTGAACATTCTTAATCAGTTTGCTGTAAGTGAACCGCCAGCTAGCTCACTTGAGCCGGGCCCCTTCTTATTAGGTGACAGATTAGCAGGGAGGAGGGGGATAGAGAAACCACAGACACCCTTTTTTTTTTTTTTAATTCTTTCCAGCTTTGCCTCTTGGTGGGTTGTCCTTTGGTCCTTCCCTAGGACCTTCTCTGATGGGCCATTGATCGCAGGAGTACAGTCCTTCTGGCCAGTCTGATTTTAAAGAGTTCTAACAGTTCCAAAATGTTTGCTACATTCTTCTGTGTTTTCCTCACTTGGCATTGTTCTCTAAACCGTTTGAACCTGGTATGCATCCAAACTGTAGCTTCATCTTATGGTGTCTCTAAAGTCATGGATTTAGCATACTAGTCCAGTTTTTTTTCTAATGTATAATAATGTTTGAATGTTCACTTATGATTCACCAGTGCTACTCATATAGCCCTAGTATGTAAATCCTCTTCTTAGGGGTGGAGGAACAAGCCTCACAATATCTTATATGAAGGCAGGGCCCATTGACCTTGTTTTATGGATCAAGAACTGAAAGACTTGAAGGGACCTGCTCAGACCCACATCATCAGTATGGACACTCCAAGCAGTGCGACTCAAACCCCAGTCAGATGGTACCTGCTAATCCTCTGAACATTCCCACTCTGGGCTTACATTCCTGTGGATTTTTTCAAGTCCACTTACTTAGCTAGAGTTGGGTTTAGTACTACATGTCTATAATCTTAGGCCTTGGGAAGCTAACGAAGGAACAACACAAGTTTGAAGCCAGTCTGGTCTCAAAAGTCTCAATGGACACATTCTACAGGGTGACAGTAAAAGGTCCTCCACAGAGTCCTCAGCAGTATGGAAGTAGCTGACAAAAGAGGATCTCAGTGCCAAAAGGAGCCACTCGGGGAGAAAAGTTTCTTACCTGCTGCTCTCCTCAAGGCTGGGACTGGGCCTCTATTTGCATACACTCAGTTTCATCTACACAAGATAAGTAAGTACCCAGTCTCCACCGTTGTAGAACATAATGATGGAGACAGGCCAACAAATGAAAGAGGGAGAAGGAGAGAGAGAGAGAAAGAAAGAGACAGAAAGAGAGAGAGAGGGAGAGGGGGAGAGGGAGAGAGAGAGATGGTCAGAGGACAACTTGCAGAAATCAGGTGTCTTCACCGTGTGAATCCTGAAGATCAAATAAGTTGTCAGGATGGGCAGCAGGAACATCTACCCACTGAACCATCTTGCCAGCCCCTAAAATGCAAACCTTTTAAATAAAGACTAAAACTAGACAAACTGTTTTACCCCTGTAATCCTAGCACTTGAGGGGGAATGGAGGCAGGAAAATCAGAGTTTAAGTCCAGCCTGGGCTACATAGGATGCTGACTCAAAAGAAATAATGAGTAAAAGGAGAAAGAATACTATGTAAGTCCTAAGGCCAAGTGGTTGCTAAGTTGTCGCTTCAGAATTTAAAGGACTGAATTACCCCTTGCAGGATCAGAAAACAGTGGCACAGTTGCTCCAAAGCACCTACTAAGGAGGAATCTATGGAAGGGAGGACAGGGGCATGTCCAGTCCCTTCCGAGACCCCCTAGAGAAGCTGGGGTCCAGGTAGAGATAAAAAGACAGAGAAGACAGGCTAGAGATTCAAATCCCATGTTTCACTCTTCTGAGATGGGGAGCAGGACTTCCTTCTTGTCTCTGGCTTTAGAAGGGGTGAAGAAGCAGGGGCCTCCCCAGCAGAGTGGGAGCACCCACAGGAACAACATCATACTATGACCCTTCTCCCTTGGCAGAAGTCAACAGAGGTGGTACCTTCTATAGAAGCTGTTTTCTGCATCATTTGGTCAAATGGCCAAGCTACCAGATACTTTGAATATCTGTGCTCACTGAAATGCTTCATGACCATGAGCTAGTAAGGAAAGCAGTTTGGCTGTGCTAGCATGGTTCACTCATGTCTACTCTTGAACCAGCACAACTCCTCTGCTTCTCTTGAATGCAACCCTCCGTCCCTGCTAGAGAACTGGACAAATGCTGGAATCCAGGGATGCTTGCTTCTAGCCCTGAGTGCAGGCTGCCAAGCCTCATTGAGAAAGAAGTGGGAGGACCAGTTCTCAGAACTTCCAGGTTTGCTTCCTTTCCCACAGTTCAATGATCTACAAAATGAGTAATTGCTTGTTTTATAATGTACAGATTCCAAAACATTCATCTGAAATGTACCTCTCTACTCCTTCCGTTTGAGCAAGGGAATATGAATTCCCTTTTTTAATCTAAAGTTTCAAAAGCTGTTTAGAGGCTAAAGTGATGGCTCAATGGTTTAAAGCACTGGCTGCTGTTCCAAAGGACCTGAGTTTAATTCCCAGCACCC